ATGTGCACCTCTTACCCCTGACTATAATGTGTGTACCTCTCTTACCCCTGACTACATGTGTGTACCTCTCTTACCCCTGACTACACATGTATACCTCTACCCCTGACTACACATGTACACCTCTTACCCCTGACTACATGTGTGCACCTCTTACCCCTGACTAAATAAATGTTGGGTTTTTGCTTTTTTAATTTTTCATTTATTTTGAGACAGGGTTTCTCTGTGTAGCCTTGGCTGTTCTGGAACTCGCTCTGTAGACCAGGCTGGCCTTGAACTCAGAGATCTGCTTGTCTCAGCCTCCAGAGTGCCAGGATTAAAGGAGTGTACCACCACGGCCAGTACTTTTGTTTTTGTTTTAACTTATTTAAAAACAAATCACCAGGAGCAATTTGAGGTAGATTGCTTGACTATCAGAGGCACCAGATGCAAGGATTGGGGTGGGGCGAAGGGGAAGACAGCGCTATAAAGAAGATAAAATGCCTTGCTTTCCGTTCCAGGGGAGAAGGCTGTCACTCTCCAGGAGTGGTGACTCCATACCATCCATATCTCCAGTTCCAGGGAATCAATGCCCTCTTCCGGCCTTTGCAGGCGTGCAGGTGGCAAATCAGACATGCAGGCAAATCACCTATATGTAACATAATAACATTTAGAAAAGAAAAGAAAACTGAAGATTGGACTAGGAACTCGGGGAGGTTTTGGAGGTATGGAATCCTGGACAGATTTTCAGAAGAGTACCGCCTGTTAGCAAACCCTCTTCTCAGTAACTGCAGCCCTTGAGAAACATCCGCTACTGTGCAGACTGGGAGAACACACCAATAGGGCAGAGCCGGGGGTGCTTAGGTGGTGCTGGGAGAGGCCAGTCACTGAGGGGAAGGTGCTTGTAAAGGTTGGGAGGAGAAAGGCAGGAAATCCAAGCCACAGGCCAGTAGGAGCCTAAACCCTCTGAGCACCTTGGGAATTTGTGGGGGCAAGCTTTGGAAGGGACTGCAAGGTTGGGGAGACAAGATGACGGAGTTCCTGCAAGGTGGGGCTCCAATGATTTACTCGAGGGTTTCTTGGCAGGCACACAGTAGCTGGAAGGTCTCTTCTTGGAGGCCCTCCGACAAAACCTGGAGCAGGCACAGAAAGGCAGGTTAGGGGGCCTCAGCAGAGCTCCCTGCCTCCAGAGTTTCTATAAACAGAGGGAAAGGTACTGGTTAGGAGACAGAGATATAGCTAGGGCCAAAGCCAGACCCAGAATGACGTACCCTGACATTCAGAACAACTCTCAACTCTCTCTCTCTCTCTCTCTCTCTCTCTCTCTCTCTCTTTCTCTCCCTCTCTCTCTCTCTGTTTTGTTTTTCTTTCTTTTTCTTTTTTTTAAATTTATTTATTTATTATGTATATGATATTCTATCTGTGTGTATGCCTGCAGGTCAGAAGAGGGCACCAGACCTCATTACAGATGGTTGTGAGTCACCATGTGGGTTGCTGGGAATTGAACTCAGGACCTTTGGAAGAGCAGGCAATGCTCCAATGCTCTTAACCTCTGAGCCATCTCTCCAGCCCCCTCTGTTTTGTTTTTCAAGACGGATATTCTTCTCTGTGTAACAGCCCTGGCTATCCTGGAACTCGCTTTGTAGACCAGGCTGGCCTCGAATTCACAGAGATTCACCTGCTTCTGCCTCCATAGTGCTGGGATAAAAGGTGTACACCACCACCGCCAGGTTCAGAATAATACTCTTTAAAACATCTAATACCTCCTTAGCTATGGGGCTGTGGCCTTCTGCATTGGTGCCATAGGCTTTTTGGACTTCCCAGGGATAACAGGAACTCAGAGATGTGGAAGGTTGAGCATATACAGGCAGGCCTGCATCCAATCAGAGATCTCAGAGGAGCCTGGCTTGGAAAGTGACTGTGCCTTGAATTTTTGGGAAGGCTTGATGATTCCTGGTCAGGACCTAGGCTAAGTGTGGGCGAGGGGGAGCAGTCTCTGCTCCTTTGGTGGGAGGAAGACAGTGAGACTGACTGGGGAGATTTCCTTCTGGTCCTCTCTAGCCTTGGCCCTGAGATCCACATCTCTGAGGTTGTCCGGTTGGATTCTCCCCACCCCTTGCCTTTTTGTCCCAGCATCACCCATTAGTCAGACCCCTGGGAAAGAGGGCTGGTGGGGCTCGTACTTGGGGAGGTTGTCAAATGTGCTACTTGTCACTAAACAACTTGTAAATGGAGGTTCAGGATGCTGGGGCCTGGGCTGGCTGAAGGATGTGCTATTCAGAAGGTCCAAAAGTACTCCCCCCCCCCACACACACCAGCTGGAGGGAGGAATGTCTCTAAGGAGTCAGAGGGGAGCCTGGACTGGGTCCTGAGCCAGCTTTCCCCTCTCCTGGGCCTCTCTGCTCTGGGGAAGTTGCATGCTCTCTTCCACTCAGAGGCAGCTTGGGAAAGAGCAGGGGCCCTTTCAGGGAAGCAGGCCTGAGACACTGTGAGAGCCCATTCTTAGGTTCA